TTTCTTTTTTGTCATTATGACCTTGATCTTCTTTAGCTTTCCAACTCTATTCAAGCATTCTTTTGCTATCTTTATCTGAATTTTTGTCATTCTAGTAGTATTATCTAGAATTATATTGTTCCTCTGCATTGCTATTATTAAACCGATTTATATATAATATATTTTTTTTAGACAGTTTATGTTCGTCTCTAATGATCACATTGTTGGGTATTTCACTTGTATATTTGATCTTTCTGGCTAGTTGGTTACTTGATAAGGGTAAGTTTTTTTCTTCTTTTTTGCTTGTTTGTAAAGATTCGTCACTGCTTATACTAACTACTTTATTTATTTTATTACTTTCATTTTTTTTTCATTTTTATCTATTTCACACTTCTCAATAATACTACTTTGTTCATCTTTAATGATACTACTTTATTCATTACTCTTAACACCTTTATCCATGTTGTCTTCAATTTGTTGAACTATTTTTCTAAACCGACTTTCTGATCTTATATCACTATTATTAGACCTATCTTTCATTATTGATTTTTTAGCATATCTTATACTTTTCTTAAATACTTCATATTCGTTCTTTTCTGTTCCAATTCTATTTCCATTACAATATTCAAGACCAATATTTTCACCAGGCTTCATATACAATTCTCAAGGTCTATATGATCGTCAGAGCTTTAGGCTTCAACAAGTTTCAAGTCATTATTTTTATCAGGATTCAAATAACACTTTAACAAGTTTTGATCACGTATAGCCAACATTTGAATCTCACCCTTTACAAGACAAATATTATCAGCTTTGTCTGCATCAACTGGACTCAAATAATGCTCAAATACTTCAACTTTATCATTACTAACAGCTTTAGTATCATTAATAACTTTGCTAACATAATTGTAGATTTTATATTCAATCTTTTGATTCGCTATATTAACGTTTACCCAACTTCTATCTTTACAATAATAGCCATGTTTATATGTTTTATTGCCTTTAACTTTCATCTCAACATTATGACATTCAAGACCTTTCTTGCCTTTCAAATCATCACTTTTAGCATTAGTTGAATACTGTTCAAATGCTTCATCCTTTTTAAGACTGGTTTTATTTTTATAACAATATCCAACCTTGTATGCTGCGTTATTATTACTTAATTTAGCAAATTTTTGATGGTGATTAAATATCAAATGCTCAAAAGTTTCTTGAGTTTGGGTTGCTATTACTTGTACTACTAGGGCTTCTTTTATGATTCTATTTCATTAACGATAGTATTATCTTGGTTTTGAGTTAGAGAACTGTTCCTATTATCATTTACACGATTATTATTTAGATACTTGTGAACAATGTGTCTTACTTGTTAATTGACGAAGCATGCAAATGATTGGTTTGTCTTTTTATACCATGCTTTATTTGACAAAAAATAGAGACAGCTATTGTTAATACTATCATTACTCACTGCTATAACTACATCTTGTAGTAAGGCCAAAACTTGCTCTATTAGATCATTCAGGGGCTAGACCAGTATGGTTTGCTAGACTACAAGATGTGTAAGCTAAATCACAGAATATATCATTCGAGATAATGGTAGCAACATCGAGGTTGTAAAATATAATATCGAATTATATAATGCAGCAGGACTATATATAATATTCTTTTGGTTAAAAATATTTCATAAGCTTAGGCTTTTTCAATAGCTTCTTCAAGTGTATTTAGCATAAAGGTTCTAACGGCTAATTATAATTTAGAATAAAGGCCTTGTACGAACATTTAGATCTGTATTATTTCTGAATATTTAACTCCTACAGCTAATACATATGGGCTAGGTGCTACAGAAAGGGGGGAAATTGACAAAATTTTTAAAATTAATTTTTTTACATAAATTAATTTA